GAGGCAGGAGATGCAGCCGAGGCAGGAGATGCAGCTGAGGCAGGAGATGCAGCTGAGGCAGGAGGTGCAGCCGAGGCAGGAGATGCAGCCGAGGAGGAAGGCTGGATCCAGCAATGGAATCAGGCCCTGAAGCCTGTGCTGGAAAATATAGCCTACCAGGAACTGAGAGACTTTTCTGGCAACGATCAGCCAGGTCATAAGAATGAGTCCTTTGAGAGCTGGCTGGACCACGCCAAAGACATGCTGTACCTGTGGCGCCACATATCAGAAAGGGAGCGGCGGCGGAGGCTGGTGGAGAGCCTGCACGGGCCAGCACAGAATTTCATGTATGGCTTCCTGAATGAAAACCCTGCCATCTCTGCTCAGGACTGCCTGACAGCGCTGGCTCAGGTGTTTAAGAACAAGGACACCCAGGCGGTCATGAGGCTGAAGTTTGTGACTTGTGCCCAGCAGCCCCAGGAGAGTCTCTTTGCTTATGTGATTCGCCTGGAAGACCTGCTGCACACGGCCATGGAGAAGGAGGCCATCCACCCAGGCGTGGCAGACGAGGTACGGAACGAGCAGGTGCTGATGCGGGCTCGCCCCAACGAGAAGCTCCGGAACAAGCTGAAGAAAATGCACCTGGAGGGGAAATCACCCGGCTTCCTGGAGATGCTTCGGCTCATTCGGGAGTCAGAGGCGTGTGAGGCCACTCCGACTATGAGACAGCAGTTTCAGGTGGAAGAAAGGGTCTGGATGGACATTAGAGGACTGGCTGCTGCCCAGGCCACCCTAGCTCCTGAAGGTGCTGCCCAGGCTGCCTCAGCTCATGAAGATGTTGGCCAGGTCGCCCCAGCCCATGAAGATGAAGCCCAGACCGCTACAACCCATGAAGATGCAGCCCAGACCGCTATAACCCACGAAGATGCTGTCCAGGCCTCCCCAGCCCATGAAGATGTTGGCCAGGCCGCCCCAGCCAATGAAGATGCAGCTCAGGATGCCCAAGCCAATGAAGATGTTGGTCAGGCCGTCCCAGCCAATGAAGATGCAGCCCAGGCTGTCCTTTCTAAGGAAGATAGTGCTGAGGCCACTCTGGCCAAGGAAGTGGCCACTGAGGCCGGTCCTGCCACTGCTGATCCTGATGAGGCTGCTCCTGAAACCCGAGATGCCACCGGGGCAGACCCTGCCCCTGAGGATACCACCAAGGCCTCCCCTGCCATTCAGGGAGATGAGAGTGCTCTGGCTCCTGCAGGTCTAGGTCAGGCAGGGCCCTCGCCTGCCCACATGGGCATTGCTTTCGGGGTGGGCTCAGGAGGTCCTGGCGGTGACCCAGAGGGCCTGGCGCAGGAAGAAGATGAGGAGGTTGAGGAGCCCCATGAGGAGGAGCTCATTCTCTTCCAGGAGGAGTCAGGAATTGAGGACGGGTCTGGGAAGATGAGTTTCCCCGAGCCCTCCTTCAAGTAAGCTTGGAAGGCTCAGTGGCCTCCTGTTTTCTGGGGCACCAGAGCCCTGGAGGCAAGGGAAGGCCACCTCACCCCACATGGGAGCAGGGCCCAGGGAAGGGTCTGCCCTGCCCCTTGGTCCCCCACTACTCCCAAGGGGCCCTAACCACCACCATCAGACCTTCCAAGTCATCAAGATGACCATACTTGCCACCAAATGGGATGAGGAGAGGTGCCCACACATGGTAGCACCACACCTGGCCTCAGCCCCAGCCCCTGCCAACTTGGGCAGCTGGCCTGGGAGCACTGCCAAGGCCTCCCCTGCCATTCAGGGAGATGAGAATGCTCTGGCTCCTGCAGGTCTAGGTCAGGCAGTGCCTAGGCTGAGCAGCCCATCTCAGCCTAGGAGAGGGGCACCTGAAGACATCTGCCACCCACGTGGAACTGGGAGACTTTAGGGCCCATCAGAGGGGTGCCAGTCTCTGGACTCCCATCCTCCATCTCCTGGGGAGCCCCCAACTCATTTTTCATAACTCCATAATGACCCTTGTGTCATGTAATCACCACCCCCCACCCCTCACACACACACATACACAGGCCATGCCGCCTGTGCAGAACCACCTGGTGTGTGTGAACCCAGGTGGGTATCCTGCCCCCCTGACCCCGGGGCAGCCACCTCTCAGCCCCGGCCCGTGCTGTGAGCCCCACTGCCAGCCAAGGCTCTGCCAGCTCTCGTCCAGTGTCATGAGCTCAGCCTCTGCTTTCTCAGTGTAGATTTAGGCCAACCGCTGCTTGTGCTTGTGGAGATGTGTGTGTTCTTCTCTGAGCAGTTCCCCACCACCGCTCCCACCCCGGACGGAGAACCTGAGCCCGGGCCCAGAAGAATGGATGAGAAGAACCGACCAGGGCGCGTCTGGCGCTCACCCAGTGACCTCTGGCAGGAAAAAAATAGACCAGGGACAGAAGGCAGCTGCTGGAGGCTCCACGGGGACTGATATGCTCTGATATGCCACCCTGTTGTTCCCTGTGACTCAGTTTCCTCAGCATGCTGGAATGTCCCCTGCTGTGTTTTCCAGTGTCTTGTGTCTGTTCAGTGCAGGCCATAGGGCAGAGCCAGGTCCCAACATGTCGTCCAGAGCGGAAGGGAGCCCTGCAGTGAGTGGACATCACCTGTGTCCACTGTCCTACAAAGTCTAATCAAAGGGCCCTCAGGGAGGGGAACTATGGAGGGAGGGCCACAGTGTGGGGACATTTAAGGCACCTCGTTAGGGACCCCAGGAGAAGGAGGTGTGACCTATGGGCTCTATTGGCCTTTAGAAGTTCCTCTCTGTGTTGTCATCCCCTTTCTTCAATGGAGTCAATAAATATTTCTCTTCAATAAACATCATTGAATGTTTCAGCTGAGTTTTGGCTCTGCTGTGGGAAATTGAGGGAAAGGTCTGCTGGGGACAGGGTTGGGGAAGAACAGTGGCCTGGGACTCCAAGTCAGAATTGGGGTATGGTAGGGGCAGGGTCCATGGGGGCTGTGAAATCCTCTGGGCTGGATGGTGTAGTTGGCAGGAACAATGGCTGGTTGGTTCTGCAGGAAACTCTGGGATCCCCCAGCAATAATTGGGTTAAACATTGAAGATAGGGGGATGGACAGCAGGCAGGATTGAAGGCCCTAGGTTCTCTGGTAGCATTGTGGGGACTCAGGGTCAGGGAAGTCATCTGTGTAGTCCCAGAGACCAATGGGCCATAGTAGGGCCTGGGAGTGAGGTCAGATGCCCCTGCCAGAAGCTCAGTGCAGGACTCTGGGGTGAGGTGGGGTGATTACCCACCCCTCTGTGATCAGCCTAACCCTGGCAGCTGACAATTGGCCAGCCTTGGTATAGCCACTGAGAGATACCGGAGGGATGGAGAGCAGACCAGGTGGGTTTCACAGGGCTTATCCCTTGCCAGTGGGGAAGAGAGGCTAAGATGGTTTTATCATTCCTGGATCCTGCCCTTTAACCCCTGGGAACCACAAGCCCACCACAAATTGAGGACGGCCCTCCATAGGTCATTGAACTGATTCCAAGTCTTTGAGAGGCAGACAGAAGGAGGGACTGGGTCCTTCCTGCATGTATTGGAGGAGGGGAAAGTATTGCTGACCCAGAAATGGTGAGAGACTCACTGGGGCTCCCCTAGTCTGTGCCCAGAGGTGTCCTCCAGCTATTCTGACGACACAGAGTCTCTGACCACCCCCATAGCACAGATGAAGGGCACAGTCCCCAGAGCAGCTGAAGAAGAGCCAGGGCTCTGAGGCCTGGGCTCCTCAGGAACCATGCATCTGGGGAGACTTGGGCCCTGTGGTGAGGGCTGAGGGCAGTGGGGCTGCAGGGATGGAGCGGCCCCTGGAAGTGCTGGGCACATAGGCAAAGTGGGCAGTTTCAGTGGGGGGTGTTGGGAAGGAGGTCACGAGGGCCATATCTGCTCTGCCCTCTGAAGCTTCCCCCCAAAGTCCAAAGCTATCATTTGGCACTCTCCCTCTTCGCCCTTTCAAGACCACCATCCTCCTCTAGGCCCCACCGCTGCCTCCTGGAGCCTGGAGCAGGGCCTGCCTCCTGAGCTGCTGCCTCTGCACATGGGAGTTCTTCCCTTGAACACTTTATTATTTTTTTATTATTATTTTAAAATCCTCACTTGAGGATATGTTTTTATTGATCTTAGAGAGGAAGGGAGACGGAGAGAGAGAGAGAGAAATATCAGTGTGAGAGAGAAACATGGATTGGTTCTTGTACACACCCCGAATAGGGGAAGGAATCCAGATCGAACCTGAAACCTGGGTATCTGCTCTGACTGGGAATCAAACCCTAGACCACTCGTGCATGTGTTGACGCTCCAACCAAATGAGCCACACCCACCAGGGTGTTCCCTTGAACACTTTAGCTGCCTGTACCTCTGGCTGTCCTGCTCCTTCCCCAGCTGTCCATCTGGGCTGGAACTCAGGGCTCCCATTCTCACACTAGAAAGCTTAGGTCCCTATCTCCTTAGCACCTCTTAGGAGCCATGATTTCCATCACAAAAAGGGAAGATCAGCCCCCTAAGCAGATTGCTTTCTTATTCCAGGATGTGGCTGGGCACATTTCTCTCCAACAGGGCTGCCAGCCAGCCCCGATGACCACTGAGTACCTTTGGGGCCCCTGGCTCTGTTCCAGGGCACCTTGGTGTTGCATAAGACTGGGCCCTAACCTCCCTGAGCTCAGGCTCAGGTGTCCTAACACATGCCCACCTTGGCTCTGCAAAGGCTCAGCCCAGGCTCAGCCCTGTGCTGCCTGCCCTCTATGCTGGGCTTTCTGTGGTGCTGCTTATGGGAATGTCTCCCATAACCCCCCACACCTTGCTTCCAGTTCTGCATGGCAGTCTGAGAGCGATGGCCCCACATGGTCAAACAAGGCACAGTGGACCTGGCCCTATCGGCCCTGAAACCATCAGCTGTGTACTCGAAAGGTGCTGAAGCTTAGGGTCCTGGGAGAAGAGTGAGTCCCTCCTTAATGTTGACTGCCCACCAGGCAGTGGGCTGAGCAACTGGACCTGCATCTCTCTGGGAGCCCTCAGAGGAGCCCTGGGGGGAGGTGGACGCTGTTATGACTCCTCTGCTGCAGATGAGGACACCAGGCAAAGGAGGGCTCATGGACCTGCTCAACGCCCCACAGCTCCTTAGTGGAGGTGCTGGGGTTCCAGGCCAGACCGGTGGACCTCTCAGCCTGGGCCCTGGAAACACTGAAAAGCTGAAGGACACTTGAGGTGTGTGGTTAGCAGTGACAGTCCCGGAAACACGGAAACACAGAGGGGGTAGTGCATGGGGGTGGTGGAGATGCCAAGGCCAGAAGGTCCGGAAGGGAGAGCAGGAGAGGGGGAGGCAGGGAGGGAGCGACTGAGAAGCAAGCATCATCCCGCCCTCCTTCAGCTGACTCAGGGCCCCAGCAGGCCTAGATGAAACCACCTTCCGCCTCCGTAGGGCACATCTGCTCAGAGGAAGGGCCAAGGACACATCTGGAGGTCTGTTGCTTTTATTATTTTTTTACCAACAAGGGCTCCAGGCTCACTGCATTCCCCTCCGGGAGATGGGCTCTGGGGGCAGGGGGAATTCCGTGGAGTTTGTTGCCAGCTTGTTCATTCACACTTTGGGATGGCTGTTCTGTTTGGCAGACTCAGTTCCTGTGCCAGCAGCTGGGCACACAGAGGGCGAGGGACCAATGGCAGAGGAGAGAGGCACCCTGATGTAGGTAGGTGGCAGGGACGAAAACAGCCCTCATGGAGGACTCAGTAAGTGCTGGGCACCACCTTAGGACTTTATTGCATGGGCGCTGCTTTACCTGTGGGGTCTTGTGTCCTGTGTTGGAGTGACACAGGCTGAGTACTTGGCATGAGGTATGTGTGACGGCCAAGGGTAATCGACTTTGATTACATGGAACTCAGCCTGGGATTCACAGGGGCTCCTTGAGGGAGATGTGTTCTGAGCTCAGTCTTTTTTTTTTTTTTAAAAAAAGTAGTTTTATTGATTTCAGAGAGGATGGGAACGGTAAAGAGAGATAGAAACATCAATGATGAGAAAGAAAGATTGATTGCTGCCTCCTGCAAACCCTCTACTGGGGATCAAGCCCACAACCAGGCATGTGCCCTGACTGGGAATCGAACCATGACCTCCTGACTCATAGATTAACGCTCAACCACTGAACCACGCTGGCTGGGCTTGAGTTCAGTCTTAAAGATCCAGCCAGTTCTAAGGTAGAGGGAGGACTGGGAGAAGTGTGGCTTGTTCCATCAGAGAGGAGAGGCATGAGTTCCATGACACACGCGCGCCTGGAGTGCCAGGGATGCTGAGAGAGAGAACAGAGGTGAAGCATGAGCTGGAGAAGCAAACAGGGATCCATAGTGAGGTTTTTCATAACAGGTAGAGAGCTCTCTCTCTTTCTTTTAAATTAAATTAAAATTGTTCCATTACCTTTTATCCCCTCTATGCCCTCTATCACCTCCACCCATGCCCCTCCACCCTCACAATGGCCACACTGTTGTCCATATCCATGAGTTCTCTCTCCTTTTTCTCTCAATCCCTTCAACACCCCTCTCCCGCCCCGGCCCCAACCTACCCCCTGCTGAAGAGCTGTCTGCATGCTCTCTATCTACGAATCTGTCTCTCTCTCTTGAAGTTGCTATGGACAGCGCTCTGTGGAAAAATACTCGAGTGGTCTGCATCAGAAAGAGGTTGGCCAGCTCCAGTTGTTGCTAAGGAAACCGCTGCAATTATAAGTCAAGAGTGGCTAGAAAGCAATTTGGAAGGAGGGCGAGATTTTGATAAAACAGAAAGAATCCTTTGATGCATGAAAAATACAGTCACAGAAGATAGCTTTCCTGAGACGCAGGCTGGC